GGAAAGAGCAGCAAGTGAGAGACAGACAGGAACCTCCAACAAAGTGGTCACACTGCACTCTGCCCCTGTCACAGGCACATCGATAGTACAACGTACTGAGGGGGCCCCTGACAAACGAACTCAGGACTTTTCCCATATGGGTCCAATCGTGTTATCATGTGCAATCACCTGGCCTTAGTAAACTTTTTTTAGAAACAAAAGGTTAAGAACAACCAAATAATACGTCCAAAAGTTAGATTCCATCAAAATTAAACCTACAAATTAAAGAAATGATAAAAATTAAACAAATAACTTAGATTGGAACATTATATTTGTAACTCCTCAATAAGACCAAAAGCATAGCAAGGAAAACATATTTTTAAATACCTAAAAATAAATCATGAAAATACATGAAGTTAAATGATAATAAGGGAAAAGATGTTAATGTATACATCTCAAAAGAGAGAATATAATCTATCTAAATAATACTTGTAGAACTATTAATTAAAACAAAACAAAATGAGATAATACAGGACAATTATTCCTACAGTAAGTTGTCTTTAAATATTTAGATTATACATTGTACTTGCCAGAAATTATACTGAGTGCTCAACTTCTATGAACTCTTTTAACCTTCACAACCACCCTCATTATCATTCTTGTTTTGAAGGTGAGGAAACTGATAAATAGAACAATTACATCACTGGCCATGATCATAATGTTGTAAGTGGTAGAGTCCTTGAAATTACAGTCAGTTCTAGCTTCAGGGTGCATCTTTTATTTCTATTCTTTGCTATTTCTCTGAAGAAACTTATGATGCCAAATTTTGGTGAGAATATTGAATAGAAATCCAATTCACTGCTGGTGGAAGTGTCCATTGACATAATCAAAAACTCTAGAGAAGTAACCATCTCAATAAAACAAAGGTGAAGATTTGCATTCACTATATCCAGGGACCCTCATTCTAGAAATGTATTCCCAAGATGCATTCATACATGGACACAAAAGATACACCTGAGAGTGCTCAGTCAAGTGTGAAAAATAAGAAATACTTGTTTCATACCAACAAAAGAATGACTTTTTAAAAATACTATATTTAAACAATATAAACAATTTAAGAGCAATTAAACAGAATGAAATGGATAAAGGTATCAGATAGGTTAATTTTATGTGTCAACTTTATTGGGTCACGGGGTGCCCAAACAGGTGGGTCGATATTATTTCCGATGTGTCCTTGAGTATGATTCTGGAGGAGATTAACAGTTGAATTAGTAGAATGGATAAAGCAGATTGCCCTCTTTACTATGGGCCAGCCCCATCCAATCGATGGAACAAAAAGACTGCCCACCTCAAGAGGAAGAGGATACCCTTCCTAACTGACTAGTGGAGCTTGAACATTGATCTTTTCTTCCTCTGGAGCTCCAATTTACCCTGGCTTTCCTTAGGCCCAGATGTAGCTGACTGAAAACAGAAATCATTAACTCTCTTGGCTCTCAAGCTTTTGGAATTGGACTAAACTACACCATTGGCTCTCTAACTTGCTGATTTCAGATCTTGGATTTTCTGTCTCATAATCCCATAGGTCAATTCCTTATAATGAAACTTTTTTCTCCATGTAAATATAACCAAATGGTTTTATTTTTCAGGAGAACCCTGACAAATACAGCCAAATATGGATAAACCTCAACAACAAAATGAAAGAGTTGGCCCAGCTGCTGTGCTGCAGTAGTAATGCTACCCTCATACAGTGCTGGAAGCTATATAGCCACCATTGTTCACATCCTTGGTCAGTCTAACAGACTGGAAATGAATGTAGATGTGCAAGATACCAAGGAACCGGAGGGTTGAGGAAAGGAGATCGTAATATGACCATTCAGAGGATGTGTTTTCTCTCCTGTCTTGTACATGTACACACACAAATAAAAGGAATAAAAAAATCACATATAGTGTATGATTCTACTTACATAAAAACTTTGAAACACACAGAACTATTACATATTCTGTTCACTTTAGTCAACACAATGGTTAAATATAGAATGATGCATAATATGACAATCAAAACAGATTATATTGAAAATATAAATGAGAATGAGATTGGGGTGTTAAGCAGTATTTATTAACTGTAAAATGCTCCAAAGTGATTATGGCAAAATATGAACTTTTATTTTATATATATAGATATATATGGCTTTTTGTTACATTATTCTCTATACTTAGCTATATACTTAAAATAATTTACAATAAAGTAAACATGCAAATTGTAATTTTAAATGAATGAATTATAGAATAAGTAGAGTAGAAATAAAGAGAAACTTATTAAATCCTGAAAATTTTTAAATGCCTAAGTTTTTAGTTTGATTTACGAATTTCTTGTGAAAATACATATTAACAAAGTAAATTGATACCAAGCTCTCATCAAATTGTTAAAAATTCAAAATCACTCTACTAACTATTGAATATGTGCCATTAGTTAGATTTTAGATTTTGTGATAGTGAGAACTATGACATTACATGTATGTTTGAATAGTTAACTACATAAAAAGACAGGCAGATGTTTAATCCAGCGACAGTAAATTTATATTATACTAATTAAAATTATGTATTAGCACACCTAGAACAAAGAAAATGTGTTCTCTATTCACATTTGATACAACTTAACAGCCAACTATAATAGCAGAGATGATGTTTAAAAAATCTAAGTAAATATATTTTTTACATGTTATTCAGCATCTCGATGAATTTTTTTTAACAATGCAGTTAAATGTGTTGGAAGACAAATCTCCAAGAATATTTTCACATTTCTGCATGATTCAGGCTTTCTGAGAAAATTGAATGGCTTAAAGTTATGAAAATCTAAGTAAATATACTTTTTACATGTTATTCAGCATCTCGATGAATTTTTTTAACAATGCAGTTAAACGTGTTGGAAGACAAATCTCCAAGAATATTTTCACATTTCTGCATGATTCAGGCTTTCTGAGAAAATTGAATGGCTTAAAGTTATGTCAGTCAACCTTATCATTTAGAGACAGTGAATTGCTCCAGAGAGATTTAGAGACTTCTTTCCCCAGAGTCCTGTGATTACATTTCAGGGTAGAGACCTTCTTCTCACTTCTCCAGAGAGAATTTGAATACAACTGTGTGCAGTTTGCTCTCTGTCATTTTCTCCAGGAGGGAAGGAGAGAGGTACAGCTGTCTTATATGATCTGAGTGTTATGATTGTGGGATTCCCTTCCTGTGGTAGAACCCAGGACATACTCAGGCATATCTGGCTTTCCCACTGTCATCTGTGAATATTAAAGTTTAGGGAAATGGTGCAAGATGTACCTCTGGTTGTTATTTAAACCTTAACTGGTAAAGAATGTGCTCTTTGATTCAGAGAACTCGTGTTTAAGATTACGATATGAATATAGATGTAAACTTAACAAGATGCAGCATACATTAGATTAAGCATATGTTATTTCTATAAAGTCAAATATATTTCATTTGTTAATTGAAGCAGAAAGCCTTTAATATACTGCTAAAGAAAGATATCAGTAAAATCTAAATAAATTTCAGTATGTTGTATTAATTTTGAATACAATCTATTTAATTTTTGTGTTTATGATAATAAATTTTTCACAGATCATTTTATTAAACAGGGCAAAAAACCAGTAAGCAAAATCATTTACCTTATAATGTGGTGGAAGAGAGGAAATTAAAGCTTTGTAATTTATTCTATATCCTTTTAACCCTGTCATACAGAAATTTATTATAAATTCAGCAGAAAATGAGCCATTGAAGATTTATGTGCAGATAGTGGTAAAATCAGAGTTATAAATTAGAAACACTAATCCATTACTACACAGGATGCATTGAAGCAAGGGGTAAGTAAGTAGGTAAGAACTTAGACAATCACAGTAATGTACTGAATTGATGTGAAGACTGTGAGAGCAGAAATACAGCAGTTCGGGGAGGAATTGAATAAATGTTGGGTGGGAAGGGTGTCAAAGTTTTCCAAAATACAGAGGTTAAAATTTGAAATAAATCTGGAAAGGAAATAGCTACTAGCTATTAATTCAACTTAGACATAATAATCAGTTCAAGCTAATGTGATTTTTACTACATACACACGTGTCTATTTGTTAGCATCTTTTTGGCAGTGCTTCACAATATTGACTATTTTCTCAAAGCATTTTCTTCCTCTGACTCTGGACACTTTCTGATATTTTCCAAGTTTCTTCTTACTAGTCTTCTATGCTAGATTCTCCTCTCCTAGCTGACCTAAATATTAATGTACCTTACCTTAGGAATTACTTATAAACACTTTTCTTACTATACTCTCTCTCTCTCTCTCTCTCTCTCTCTCTCTCTCTCTCACACACACACACACACACACACACACACACACACACTCTATTTTTCTGTAGAGATTTTTGGCCCAGGGTGTGTTCACTTGCTGGAGAAAGACAGAGACATAAACAGTAAGAGGGAAAGTGAGAAATCACCCCGTAGAAGCATGGCCATGCTACAATCCTCTCTCCTCCATTCTCCTTTTGGGATCCTGAGCATGCATGCACATGTATCTAGCATGAGTTTCAAACTATTGGGTCAAGGATTTGAACTCTAGCTGGCCATTTGGGAGTCCCATGCTGTAACTGTTATGGCATCTGCTGGCCCCACTATGTGCTCTCTTTGAGCAAATTTATTTAATATACTAATTGAATATGCTAAAACTTAATTCATTTAATTACTTATAAATCTGTATCTGAAGTCCACATCCCTTTACTCCAGAACTACCTATACGAAATAAAAATATTGTCTCCACATGCATATTTCAAATGCCTTTCAAAGTCAACATGATTAGAACTAAACTTATGCCATCATTATAGTAAAAATAACTTTTAAAAATCTCAATCTACCCTTCCCCCACACTTGCCATCTAGTCAATCAATTCTACCTGACAAGTATTTTTCAAAATGTTGCATTTCTCACATTTCTCAGATCCCTATATTAGTCCAAGTCACCATCATTTACCCTTACGTGTCTACATTTATTCTCTTACTCTT